CCTCTGACCCCTCACCCACCTGACCGACCGGCTGGCTCTCACCCAATCCGACACTCTCCTCCTCATCCACCTGACCGACCAGCTGGCCCTCACTCGTCGCCACACTCACCCCCTCACCCGTCGCCACAGTCGCCCCCTCACCCACCTGACCGAGAGGCTGACCCTCACCCGTTGCCACACTCACCCCCTCAGCGACCGGTTGGGCCTCACCCATCGCCACACTCACCCCCTCACCCGTCCCTACTGTCACCCCCTCATCCACCTGACCGACCGGCTGGCTCTCACCGCCTCCCACACTCGCCCCCACATCCAGCGGAGCGGACGAGGGGTTCCTCTCCGGGCAACCCCTCGCCAGGTGTCCCTCTCCACCGCAACGGAAACACCTCCCATCGTCCGATGTGGCGAACATGGCGTAATCAAACCCCTCGATCCTCACCTTAATCACCAGGTCGAGGGCCTGGGGTTTGGTGAGGACCATGTGGAGTTGCCTCCTATGCGACACCACATGCCTCATTAAAGGCAACTTGCAAATATTACTGGGTATATTGCATGTTTCAAAAACATAAATATTGACTATTTGTAAAATCTTTTTCTTTGTGGCTCAAGCTGGGGCTACGCCACATGGTCCTCTATGGACCACCCGCCACTGGTATGGGCAGATGGGCAGTATGTATGTATTATTCATAACCAGTCATTCGATCAATTGAAGCAGTGAAACATGGAACATCTAGAAGTTTATTAAGCGCAAAATAAACAAACCAAACTTTACGAAGAGCACAACATGCAGCGGCTTTCCAGGTCTTCTCTGCATCGCAACATTCTACAAACATGTACTGTATGAGAGACTGTGTGTGAGACAGTATGAGAGACGGTGTGTGAGACAGTATGAGACAGAGACAGTATGAATTTCCTCTCTATAAAACCTTAACTAATATAACATCAATGAGGAAGAGAGCTGCCCTTTTTTCCGGAGGTGTGGTGAGCTAATCTAGCTGGCTCAAATAAGCCTGCGCCGGAGCAGGTTCAAGTTTTTGGATGTGTTGCTATGGTGATTGTGCAAAACTTGCTTTGGAGAACCGAAAAGCCTGATTAATGTAATGTTATCGAAAATTATCTGGCAAACTCAGTTAGCCACGTACGAGGAACGGGGCCCTGATCTTGGATGCAAATTTATTCCGGAACCATCCTGCTGTGCATCTGGGCCCCGCTGCAGACCTATTTTTGTAGATCTGTTACAGATTTTATTATACTTCCAGGGCGGATCCGGCCCATCTGCGTAGGCAAATGTCTGCTAAAATATTCAGGGTAAATATTCGGGTGATAAAAAATCATATGCCACATGTGTACAGATTGTAAAGCGCGAGTTTTTGAATTTTGGGCTGTACAAAATATATGTATATTTAATTTAATCAAATATGTTTTTCTAGTTTCTTTGAGTTGTTGAAGAAATAAAGATGATTTATATAGTGTGGAGAGCTTTATTTGAAGTAATATTTGGCTTGCATGTGGAATGGAGATTCTGTATATTACAAAAGTGGGTTTAATTATATTATATCATAACTATGCAGTTGATTTTATTTTTTAAATATTTTAATGCAGGTAACAGGCTCACTGCTTGGAAGTCTGATAGCGAAACGGACCAAATACTGGGAGGAATGTAACATAACTCTGGCAACATGGGCACTACCAGAAAATGGTGAGTCGGCAAAGTAGTTCACTGTTAATTAGCTTGCTTCTTACTATCTTTGTGATAACTAGATTATTGTTGTTTTACAGGAATCTACTGTAAAGGAACGTTTGACACATTTGTGTGTTGGCCCCATTCATCTCCTGGGAATGTGTCTGTCCCCTGTCCTTCTTACCTACCATGGATCAGTGAGGACAATGTTATGTTTTACTACTTGAGTAAAAGGCCTTTTATGTATGAAGTCAAATTAGCAACACTTGGAGGAAGATATATAAATTGCACTACACAAACTTTAATTGTACTTTTGCTGAAATATGGGTACGGGTATATATGCTAATTAATGAATCATAACCACTGTGGTTATTCATTATTACATCTTGGGTCAGATCAGATCAACATTTTAATTAGTCCACTACTTTCAAATTAGGACAAATACCTGCATTGGCAATAATTGGGATATTTTGGTACATTGACATTGAAATTTATCTCAGTACAGCAGACTCTTTCAAAGGAATTTCTCAAAGGTCCATACAGCCTTGAAAAAAATAGTATCCAGCCTTGAAAATATTTTCAATGTGTCCTTAAATCACCGACAGACGGCTCCAGGAGGGCACACAGAGAATGCTTATTGAATGGTGTATGGCGAAAGAAGGATAATTCCTCCGAGACCTGGAGGGATGACTCAGAATGTAAGGAGGACCATTATTTCAAAGACAAGGTGAGATAATGTAAAATGCATGGTTTCTATACCCTTTACATTTTGGAGCATTTTGTCTCTATATTAGTAACTTATCCATTTTCTTGTGTTTGCATGTGTGTACGTAAAGGAGGATGAAATGCTTCGCCAGACAGCCCTCAGGCTTATATCTGTCATCGGCTATTCCATGTCCTTGTCCTCTCTTTTTATTGCTACTCTCCTGTTGGGCATGTTGAGGTCAGTAGTAGGGAGTAGAGGCGTTTCTGATGGAAACAAAGAAAATAATCTAATTTGTATGGAGATGGAAGATTTGCCTTAGCCTTAGTTATGATAACATTTACTTACCAAAGTCTAAGAAATGTTTCTGCATTGTATCCGTTTTCTAGATTGCCATTTAAAATTTTGGTAACCAAAATTGTTCCGTTTATCATTTTGAGAATTTGAAGGTGTAAATATTTCATAAAAGGTTATGTTCATTGCTTCTCACCAAAATGCATAGTTTATACTTCAAACCTGTTAAACATGTTCATTTATTTACCTTTCTAGAGTTGTAAGAAGGTAAATCATTAAAACATGCCTTTTCTAACATTTTAAAAGCAATTAGTACATCCATGAGTGATTGAAGTTAAAGTTGATTCAAGAAGTAGTTTTCATTCTTAATTAATCTATTGATGCATTGCTTAATTGTCCGAACCTGAAAAGGCACCCACTTTTAAAAACATTATTTCATAGTGGTGAAAACAGGAAATTCTTTCTGGTCCATGTTGTTTCATGCACATTGATCATTTCGCCCTCTTATACCATGAAATAAGCCCTCAGTAATGCTTTTACAGTTGCACAGGAAGTATTGATTGTTGCCTTTTTCCAAATAACTCCTGTTTCTGTCTACAAGGAAGCTCCACTGTACCAGGAACTACATACACATGAATCTCTTTGTGTCGTTCATCCTGAGAGCCCTGGCTGTCATCTCTAAGGAAATTGTATTATACATTATGTATTCCAAGCTACCCAAGGACGATCCAGGATGGAACTCCTATTCAATCTCTGCGGTATAAATTATATGTCATTTTTCAATTTATTTTATTTTGTATAGCCCAAAAAGAGAAATTTGTCTCAGAAGGCTTTGCAGTTTCAAAAACCCCTGAAACCCTGATTACCCTCATCATTATTCACATATCTGCTCGGGCTGATTTGGTTTTAGCTGTGAAACCTTTTAAATGTGTACACGAGAGCACTTGTTAATCAACCAAAGCAGTTTGAATTAACCATAACATTTCATACTAATTTGCAATTTCGTTCAACAGATAGCGTTGATATGTAAATTTTCCAAAGTGTGTATGGAATACTTTGTGGCCTGTAACTTCTTCTGGCTCTTGGTGGAAGCCATTTTCCTCCGTACGCTGCTCTTCACAGCTGTGCTGACCAAGAGACATCTGCTGAAGAACTACATGCTGCTCGGATGGGGTAACTAAACCTAATATCACTCAGTGAATGTTTGGTCAGTGGCTCTTCACCTTCATACACTGACCATCTTATCTCACCTTTTGGACATGTCACACCCAATGGGTGAGAAATCAACTCTACGTTCCAATTTAATCATCATCAATTATGACTCGATGTAGAAAGGTATCAATTGTTATCATTGTTATCCCTGTAAAAATTGTGACTCTGTGTTGACCATTCTTTACTATCCCTGAATGCAACAGACATAACAGACATGCTTCTTATTCACGTTTAAAGGTAGGCTTAACTTGCCGACTTACATCCCTAGTTTATAAGATTATATTGAAGCATTTCGATACTTTCCATGCTAAACTTAAAATGTAGAAAATTGCAAAGCTTAATAGATTCCAATTTTTTACTGAAGAATTGCGGCCCTATATTGTCACGAACCCCCGACCTAGTTCTTTCAGTCATGATCCATCCTTTATGACCACAGGGTGAGGGTAGGAACGAAGATTGAACAGTAGATTGAGAGTTACCGTGCGGTAAATCGAGTGCAATACCGCCCCCGCTGCTCTAATTCTCTCTAATTCAAACTCACACTCCATCGTCCCCTCACTCGTGAACAAGACCCCGAGCTTCCCCCGAGACTCCTTCACTTGGGGCCTACACGGAGTAGGCAATCCTTTGGTTTCCTGCTGAGAACCATGGCCACAGATTTAGAGGTACTAAACCTCATCCCAACCACTTCACACTCGGCTGCGAACCGCTGTAGTGAGAGTTGGACCACATCATCTGCTAAAAGAGGCGATGAAATCCACAGCCCCTTGAACTGTAGACCCTCCTCATCATTCTAAAAAGCCAAATTCATCAGATCCATTTTCACTATGCATTCCTTCAGCCAACTGCCTTAAACATGGTATAACAATTGCTGTTAGCCTAAACAACCTTAGTTGAGTATAACACACAATCAATAAGCTGAGTTATTATTAAACCAATTCCAACTGCATACAGTTATACTCTAATTACCTTAATTTATTGTCTAATATTGTCTTATTACAAAAAATGAAAGGTCTAAAAAAATGGCAACTGCCGTCAGCAGCTTTGGCAGTGGGCAGCTTTGGATGTCGTAAAACAAAAAGGACACAGAGGACAAAAATCTCAGTGTCCTTGGTGGATAGGGATGGGTATTGTTTGGGTTTTTTCAGATTCAGTGCAACTGATCGGGTAAACACTGACTTAAATGAAAATACATAAAAGGTAGATAGCTAACTAGCTACTATATATACACAAGCGGTGGGCTATGTTAGCTTCTGCAAGTGTAAAATAAAGTTTTTCAATTGGCTCAGGTACCAAAACCTAAAAATCTGGGTTGCGTTTCGGTATGGTAGGTACTGATCGGATAGAATACCAATATGGCACCAGTTCTCGGTACTCAACCCTATTGGTGGAGGCCCTGTCTTTGCCTTTATACTAGTAGATTGCTTTGACTTTTGAATAATGGAGACTATAGGTCAGAGTTGCTTGAAAGCCCTGTGTGTTGCATCCACATATCTGGTACCTGACCATCTGCGATTATTTGATGAGTTAGGATGAACTCATCAAAGAACGCAAAGCATAAAGGAAGGTTTTTTGAGAAAATGTGTTTAAGTGCATTTAAAATGTTGCACCTTATTCTTATTTTATTACTTTTCAGGCACACCTATTTTGTTTGTAACACCATGGACAGTGGTCAAGATTTTATATGAAAACACTGAGTAAGTTTTTCATTACATTCTTCTACATTCAAGAAATTATTAGAAAATGTCTCACTGATCGACTTTTTAAAATCTTTTTATTTCTAAGATGCTGGTCAATTGTGAACAAATGGTTCTGGTGGATAATAAGGGGCCCTATTACTTTTTCAGTGCTTGTAAGTGATTTGTGAACCAATCTTTGTAAGCCTGTCTGAGAACCACAGTACATTTATTCAACCTTATGTTCACGTTAGTTACAGATCCAACATCTTGTTCCTATAAGTCTCGTTTCAGTGGTGCCTGATATCATAACACATTTCTATTAAATCTAACCTTGATATGTATTGCAGGTAATTTTCTTCATATTTATTAAGATTCTGATGCTGCTGCTATCCAAGCTAAAAGCAGATCAGTTGACGTTGACAGACTACAGATACAGGTATTTGTCCCTGCCTTTACCTTCTAACCCATTCAAATTCCAGGAAACGTCTTTGACCTTAAGTGCCAAGTAGTGTTTAAACAATGAATTAGGTTCATGGTCAAACATTTAAATGTCAACCGTGAATTTCTCCATGGAAAGGAAGCTTTTTAACCCTAATAGTATAGCTTACTTTGCACTTCATATAGCCCTTTGAATTGTGTGCAACTATATATTTTGCAAACTTATTACCTGTCTTAACAAGTTATAATTATTTACTTCTGTATAATTTTGTCCTTCAGCTTGGCCAGAGCAACACTGGTACTGATTCCTCTGCTGGGACTCCATGAAGTGGTTTTCACTGTTCTGATAGATGAATGTGTGGAAGGCAGCAGTCGCTACGCCAGGAACTTTATCAACCTTACTCTCAGCTCGTTTCAGGTAATATCTGTAAAGTTGATTACATAAGTTTTTATGGTTGTTGTAAAGCTACATTAACTATCATATCTTATGTGTATCATTTTACAGGGATTCTTAGTCGCTGTGCTGTACTGCTTTGCTAATGGAGAGGTAAATTTCATCTACTTGTAGTGTGATTTTTCACGTACATGTAGAAACATATGAATTGAAAGCTCAATACAATCATTATAGAACAAATAAGTTGGCATTCCAACAATAGTAAATAGTACTTTCCAACTATTACTTTTCAACTTTCTACTTATGCTTGCATTAACATAAACCAAATTAATTAACCTTTTTATCATGGTTTTTCAATGGAGTTTTCTTTTCTAATTCCGCTCAAACTTTAAATCCTTCTGCTTTGTCAATCTTTCAGCTACAGCCACCATTTAAACGTTAAAATGTGGACAAAAGCCTAAGGTATTATTTTTAAAGAAGCTTGTTGATATCTATTTAACTTTCTTCAATATCACTCATTATGTTTCATGAATTTCTGAGATTTACATTAGTGTGTATTGCGCCAGCTGGTGTGAAGCCTGAAGAGCTAGAGGGCAGAGCTGCGTCAGGATCTGTTTCAAAAATATTTCTATTTTGCCCTCATTGCCACAATATTCACTCTTCAGGCTTCATTTTTGGATAAAATGATAAGATGCTTGTGCTGGTCGTAGGCATGTGGTTATGGAATCCCACATTAAAACAAGAGCGAGACCGGTCTGTATTAAGCTCCATAGAGACCAATGCAAATCTGGTGACATATTTCTCAGAGAAAGCAGAAGCTGTACGTTTTTGAAACTGGTGATAGAGTCGTTTTCATGACCTGCAGAGACATATGAATCACATAAAATCTCCTTATTTTTTGCACAAGCGTTATAGAATCGCGGTAAAGTACACTTGTTTGAGGTGTGGATTCTAGGAATTGCTGTTCTCTCTGCACTTTGATCCGCTCTTTAACGATCCCAGCTCCCATCACTTTTTCTTTCTTTCTCCCCCTCTTCCTCCTTCTCTCTCTCTCTCTCTCTTCCTCTCTTTCTCCCTCTCCCTCTCTAACTCTCTACGTTTCCTCTCTCTCTTTCATCCCCACATCCTATAATTTTAAAACGAAACCCCCATGGAGGGGCATTCTTACTAAAATGTTCGAAGGCTATAAATTAATAATTAATTAATTAATTAATTTGAATGACAAACATTATGTCTCCTGACCCCCTGTTCCAAATTCCATTATTTCAAAATAAAATCCTCAATAATTATATGTACTCTGACATTACTTACATTTCAGCTTCTGCGATTCCTGTATTTTGTGTGTTTTCAGCAATTTTTTCAAATTTCAACTTTTTTAGCAAAATCTATTAATTCATTTCAGCTGTTACTATTTCTGTATTTTCAGCAATTTAAGAATATTTTAAACTTTGATTTCTGTATGTTCAGCCATTTTTTGATCAACAAGATATCTAGAATGAGCACAGAATAACATCCCACCTCCCTCTCTGCCAATCCCAGGCATCCCACTTGTGCCACCAATCCCACTATAGATAGCTTGAATCATTGCCATGATGGTCTGCTTCACGACAAGGGCCGCTCCTCAGTAACAGTGCTTCCTCTTGTCCTCTGTTCTCCTTCTGATGTACCTGCAGGTATTGCTGTCAGAGAGGAGACAGCAACTTTGTCTCACCCGTAAGGAAGGTTTACAAGAATAATGTTAAACCAGTTTTTTGCTGTTTAAGTATTTTGTGCTACTCCAGGTCCTCTGCTTGTTTAAATCGAGCAGCGGTGGATGAAAATCTGCCCCATTCCGTTATGATTTTGTTTAAACTTTAATGCTCGAGTAACATGAGTAGTCATACAATATCATCTTTTTACTTTTGAATAGTCTTGCTCATCACTTAAAGTATATTGCGTAGTTGTTCTCATTCTTACTAATTGTCTTTTCACCTGGTCTGCTTCAGTATCTCCTTACTGACTTTATATTACTCCTGAACATAAAAAATGACTCATGAAATCCCCAGTAATTAACAAGATTATTAACACTCCATTATTTACTAATTTAGCATTCAATATACGGTTTCGGGACCTATCCCTCCCCGTCAGGTCATGTACGTAACAACATTAAAGCCTCTATAGATCCAGTGTTCAGTTTGTCTGTTCTGGGATTCTGTATGAACCTGGTGGTGCAAGATGGAATAGGACTTGCTCCGTATGTAGAGATGACGCTAGTGTAGGCCTTAAAGTATTACAATCCTAGCGCCTCCTTTTGACACTATTACGGAAATGCAAACGTTTTACATTACATTATACAGGTCATTTAACTGACGCTTTTATTCAAAGTGACTTACATTGCATTTTTTAACCCGCGGCTTTTACATTTTTGCCCAGGTAACAATTAGGGGTTAGGTGTCTTGCTCAGGGAGCAAGCCGGGGCTCCAACCTTGCGGTTCCCACCCTCTCTACCCCTGCGCCACCGTCATCACCGTAAATATTGGGAGTTTTTTAAAAACGTTGCCCTGAGAACGTGATGCTCTGAAATGAGCAGATATTCTGTTCCATTTGGTTTTTTGTGAACATTTCCTTTATTTTTTGTACTTTCCAGGCGCAATACTTTGACAAACTCCTCCCTGAGACTTTGTCGCAGCTATTTCAATTTTGGGCGGAACAATCTCAAGGCCTTGGTGATTAAATTATATTAAAAGATTTTTGTATTACACTGTTACATTACATTTAGCTGACGCTTTTATCCAAAGCAACTTACATTGCATTGTTAACCCGTGTTTTTTTTAAAAACATTTTTGCCCAGGCAGCAATTAGGGGTTAGGTGTCTTACTCAGGAACACCTCAACATGTGGCAGCCAGGGCTCGAACCACCAACTTGCATTTCCCGGCGCACCCTCACTACCCCTGCGCCACAACGACCCCCCGGTTGCTGTGTCAACCCTACAAACTAAAAACGGGGTACTTTTGAGGGACTAAATATGCTCCAATCTTAACTAAACATGGCACGCAAATGTTAAAGTTAAAGATGTAGTTACTTAATAGGATTTCAATGCTTCCAAATGGCATATTGGCTCGATAGTGCCCCCTACCCCAACTGCTTTGATCCAGGTGCACTTACCTGGAGCCCACAGCTTTGATCCAGCTGTGTAGATTTCTCCTCCATATCAGCAGAGTAAGCTTGAGGATAATGAGTCAAGTTGGTCGAATGTCCCACTGTGACCGACATGACTGGACCTCTCTCCACATCCTCACTGGAGAGAAATGATCCACTTGATAAAAGGACATTTCTTTTGCAGAGTCTTTTCATGTCCGTCGACGGGCAGGCCCCCCCCCGACACGCAAGGGGAGACAAAGGCCCATTCATTGCTGCTCGCAGCTTTAATTAGTATTATTTTCCCTGTTTGTCAATAAATCCTCTGGTAACAATTGTCTTTGAACTGGAATTCAGGTCCAAGCTGAACTGAAGAAGCGCTGGCAACTTTTCCTGTTTACCAACCACGCCCAGTTCAGGAGCTGCTTTTGGAGCGTACCGCTGAAGTACCTGCGGAGGAATACCCGGATGCACCGCCCGCATTGCTCTCAGCAGAACAACCTTTTTGACAAGGACATAACGTTCACAACACATCCACACTTGCTCCAGTTAGCTGTACATGAAGGGGGTCCAGGACTTGCAATAGGAGAGGTAAAACGTTTAAAGGACTGTGACACAACAGGGCATGTCTTTCTCAACAGAAAGAGCTTATCCAGTAGTGATGGGGAGTTAACACTCGCAGAGACAATGGAGGAAATTCAGGAGGAGAGCCAATTCTGATCCCCTTCAGTGGGTTAACTTTTATCATATTGTATATAGCAACCGCATAGCAATATATTATTGATGCTGAATCATGTGGGCATTCATACCCTGTTCTTTAATGCCCTATGTTGAAATCTAGACCTTTCCAATTGTTTGCATTATGTTCATGGTGTATTTATTCCCCCCAAAACCCACATATGTAGTTAATACAGACAAACAACTCTGTCATCTAGTCTGTATTTGTGCCTTTAGTTTTTGGGATATTTTTTCATTCTATCGTCGATGTTCTGAGCAAGTGAATTGCAATGGAGTCACTTTAGCAACATTGTATTGTATGTATTTATAACATGGATTTGTAACATCGACTCATGAATAAAGTGGATTCTACTCCACAATCGTTGACTTTTCTGGTTTAGGTTCTTTCAAAGTTCAGCATTATCAGAATAGTTTGTGTTATTTCACCAAAAAATATTGAAGGTTAATTCATTAATCAAATATATTGTTGGTGTTACCAGACCTTAAGAAGTGCTTGTTGGTCTTGGATTGGTCTGGGAAAATATTGAATATTCTCTACTGTGTGTCATTTAAGATGATACTCTTGTGATGCATTTCCTTTCAATATTGTATCTTTCATGCTTTGTGGTTTGAATAGCTATAGCCATTAGGAACATTTGTAATATAATAATACAAAGCCCCAAATTGTTGAAAAATCATTCAAAATAAATATTGTGAATCTCACGAGGATCACGTTTAACAAGTAAAACATTCACCAATGCTCAACAAATAATATTAATGTTTTCCGTCATCGTAAGATGACTCATTATGTTTCATGAATTTCTGAGATTTACATTAGTGTGTATTGCGCCAGCTGGTGTGAAGCCTGAAGAGCTAGAGGGCAGAGCTGCGTCAGGATCTGGTTCAAAAATATTTCTATTTTGCCCTCATTGCCACAATATTCACTCTTCAGGCTTCATTTTTGGATAAAATGATAAGATGCTTGTGCTGGTCGTAGGCATGTGGTTATGGAATCCCACATTAAAACAAGAGCGAGACCGGTCTGTATTAAGCTCCATAGAGACCAATGCAAATCTGGTGACATATTTCTCAGAGAAAGCAGAAGCTGTACGTTTTTGAAACTGGTGATAGAGTCGTTTTCATGACCTGCAGAGACATATGAATCACATAAAATCTCCTTATTTTTTGCACAAGCGTTATAGAATCGCGGTAAAGTACACTTGTTTGAGGTGCGGATTCTAGGAATTGCTGTTCTCTCTGCACTTTGATCCGCTCTTTAACGATCCCAGCTCCCATCACTTTTTGCCATCACGATCCCAGCTCCCATCACTTTTTCTTTCTTTTTCCCCCTCTTCCGTCCCCACATAAAGTTTGGCTGCGCAATTGATGGAGGTTCCCTGTTAGGTAGTAATTAACACACTAGCGTCCCACAGAAACCTGTTACAGTGCCATTAAAGCATCATATTTTCTATTTATGCCTTCGAAATTAACTAACTTTCATACGTTTTTCTGTATAAATACCTGTAGAAACCCACACTGGAAAAAATCCAAATCTTACCAATTATATTGTTCTCATTTCTAGTCAAAATATCTCATTACACTTAATATAAGACACAAATGCCTACCACGTACCGTTTCATATGAAAAAAGTTTTTTTTTTACATTTGAAGAGGTTTTTAAGCTTCTATGTTATTTGCAAAAGATAAATCTTGTTTCAGGAATTAGAGTTTTTATTTAAGAAAATATATCTTGTTTATGGGAAATCCTTAACTGTTCAACGGGTTTTGACGAAAACTCAGATAGTGAAAAGAGAATTTTGTTTAAATTTGTTAAAATAAAATGTTAAATGTTAAAACATCTTAAGGAGCATTTGCGTGTACTCATTCTCTGCAATTGTGTCAATAAGAAATGGCATGATCTTTAACAAAACCAGCATCTGCCCTGCTGACTGTTTCAGTTTATTGTCACTGATGATGATTGACAGATATGGGGCAAGGCTCATCTCTTGCATCCAAAAGAGAGTAAGGGAAACCAATAATTGCACTGTTGAATGTGTCTAACTCCATATGCCCTGAAAGCACAAGATGCTTTAAAACACATTTGATTTCATATGGGGCAACACCTTCAAGAATAATATGTATAATGTATTGTGGAGTTTCATTGATTATATCAAAGTGAGGACATTCTGTTAATTTGCTTCTCCTACTAATATTGTCGTTTTTAGATTTTCTTTCAGAAAGTCAGTGCTTGCTTTTTCAATGTCACTAATGTAGTGACATTGAAAAAGCAAGCACTGACTTGCAGATTTATTTGTTAAAAGGACCATGACAAGTCATATCAGACAATGGTCTGATATGACTTGATATGATATTCATTAAATTGTTGTGTGTCTTCACATTCACATCTTTGCATTCACAGTGTAGGCAAACCCTACTCCTTCCTTAAATCCAGCCACTTCATGTTGAGCTAGAGTGTCTCCACACACAGACATAAGCACCCCAAAAATTGTCTTCTCACAATTTGCAGTGACAACTTTAACACCATCATACAGCTCAATCACGTCACAATTAATCCTCTCAAGTACAATACCGCAATCAGAAATACCTTTTGATTTTACAATGGAAAGCAGACGAATGGCAGCAAGTCTTGATCTGTATTTAGGGTCGATGTCACCTAAGGTGTAATAAATCCAAAACAATTTGTTTGTGTAAGGTTGCCGATCTGTCTTCATTGCGTGAGCTGATGTTGTTGGAGGAGTTTAAAAACTGCGTACCTCAGCGCAACTCTTACTGATGAGTTTACGCTCACGCATAAAGCCATTTTCAATAAACAGGATACTTCTCCACGCGAAGCTCCCCAACAATCTGGTCTTCCGGTTGTTACGACAGCGCTCACTCGCGTCCAAAGCCAGAGAAACTATGTTCCTTCTGCCGTAAGTCCAGTCATCTGGTTGCTAATTGTGACGCTTGGAAGTGGAAGCAGCAGGGGTCGTTTCAGAAAACCACCTAAGGGTGTGGGATTGATTAAAACTTCTCCCAGAGTTCAGTCCTTGGAGTCCCTAGCTTGTGTCAGGGTTTTTCACAGTGGGCGCCAGGGCAGGATTCCCTATTGATGGAGTTGACTTTATCATGGGGAATGATATTGCAGGTGGGAAAGTGTATCCTGTTCCTGAAGTTGTGTGTACCCCCATTCCTGAGTCGGAAAGCGATAAGATAGCCATAAAACATCCTCAAGTGTTTGTAGCTAGTGTGACCACTAGAGCGCAGGGTCGTAAGCAGGCCCAAGATGTTAACTTGTCTGATTCCTTTTTTGCTTCTGTCCTTTCTGGGGAAAGTGAGACCTCGGGTGGTGGACGAGTAAGTTGTCCTGTAGGTGTGCCTATTGAAAAGGTTACAGATTCAGTTTTGCTGGCTGACTCTTCTGCACCCTTGGCGCCATTTAGAACGACTCAATTCGATTCGATTCAGTGACTTGAAATCAATTCAGTACTTTACTGGACAGTGCAGACAAAGTTTCCGAGATCCCTGTTGTTTCTGGTAAGGAAATCAGGTTTAAATTAATTATGGATATTATAAACAAGCAAACAACAATTAATGGCAGATGTATTAACCTTTTATTTGAATCAAGTGCAACCATTTTCAATGTAAGCATTACACAATAACTACACAATGTTTGGATCAATTCACAGAACTCCGGATTTTCAACCACATTGTAGGATCGCATGTATTTACAGACAAAGTTTTTCAGCCTTCTCTCGGCCTGCAAACGCCTTTATAGTGAAGAAAGCACCAAAACTCAGTTTGAACAAAAAAGGTTGGAAAAATATTCACAAATCATAATACTATCATAAAACAGATAAATGGACTTTCCTGAGGTGCTAGTTTGAGGAGAACACTGTTAACCAATGCATTCTTGTGTTTTGTGCGTTCTTAAGCCTTCTCTCAGCCTGCAAACCCTAACCCTAATAGGGAAGAAAGCATCAAAACTTAGTTTGAACAAAAAAGGTTGTAAAACTATTCACAAATCATGATACCATCATTAAACAGATGAATGTACTTTCCTGAGGTGCTAGTTTGAGGAGAACACTGTTAACCAATGCATTCTTGTGTTCTGTGCGTTTTCAGCTTTCTCTCGGCCTGCAAACGCCTTAATAGTCATGAATGCACCAAAACTTAGTTTGAACAAAAAAGGTTGGAAAACTATTCACAAATCATGATACCATCATAAAACAGATGAATGTACTTTCCTGAGGTGCTAGTTTGAGGAGAACACTGTTAACAACTGCATTCTTGTGTTCTGTGCGTTTTTCAGCCTTCTCTCGGCCTGCAAACGCCTTTATAGTGAAGAAAGCACAAAAACTCAGTTTGAACAAAAGAGGTTGGAAAACTATTCACAAATCATGATACCATCATAAAACAGATAAATGGACTTCCCTGAGGTGCTAGTTTGAGGAGAACACTGTTAACCACTGCATTCTTGTGTTTTGTGCGTTCTTTCAAGCCTTCTCCCGGCCTGCTAACCCTAACCCTAATAGTGAAGAA